AGCAAGCTGAGAGAGAGAGAGAGAGAGAGAGAGAGAGAGAGAGAGAGAGAGAGAGAGAGAGAGTTATCACCCTTATCCATGCAAGGTTCTGGGCTTTCATAGTTCTTTAGGGAGTTTTTAATCTCTTGAAATTCTCTTTACAGTCAGTGCCATGCTGTGTGTCCAGCTGACTTTTCTGTCCAGCAGATTCAGAACTCACTGGGATCACCTTCTTGTCCATACAGGACAAAGAAAAGCATCTCCTCCCATCACTGACCCCAGCAATACCCTGAGCTTTTCATTTTGGTGGGTGGTGGGGAAGTGTGTGGTGAAAAGATTGGGTTGAGTCAAAAGCCTGGATCTATCATTGTCTTTAGTGAAAATTCCTTCCGTCAGTACCTTGACCTGCAAAACACACTTTCAACCTTTCTCTGAGCTGAAAGAAGGGCGGCCCTGGACAGCACTGCGGTGGCTGTGTACCTTCAGGTGAGCTCTGGGAGCACAATAGCCCTGTGTTCCTCCTGGTGGACCGGCAGGGTCAGGACCGGACACTCCACGGATCCTGCTGCGACTGACCTTGTCTACACATCAGCGTTTCCTGTTGCCAAATCCTAAGTGTGTCTGAATATGGAAATCGATCCTGACTCCCTTTCATCTCTCTGCAGTGAAATGCAGAATGGACGACCACGAGGCGCCTGGAGTCGAGATCGCATCACCATAGCCACGCTGGTGTCTCTGCCAGCAGGGCACAAATTATCCTGTGCGCGTGAGGAAAATGTCCACATTGTGCTTTTTCTCTGTCACTTTTTTAAGGAAAAGACTTAGCACATGTGAAAACAGAATCTTTTCTGCACAAGATTAGGATTTGCCGCAGACATCTTCGTGCAAAAAGTTTAAAAAGACACGTCTTAAATTTCTTCATTATCTCCAAATCATTCTTTCATCTATGTATTTCTTCAGTGCTTTAGATGTTACCCTTTCAGCCAGTTATTCTTAAGATCCATGATGGGATTCTAACCCTGAGATGGAACTGCCATTGTTAGCAGTTTGCCCACTTTTGCAAGATCTGTGTTTTATCTCCGATCTCTGAGTTTTTTTGCTTTTGCAGGGGTGGAACTCAAGGCCTCATGGTATGTGCCAGTCAAGAGTTCCACTTCTGAGCTATGCCCATGTCAGTTCAAAATAAGGCATTTAAACCCAGACATCATTACTAAGAATTTGCGTTGTCTCTAGGCCCCACAGTATTATAGAAAGTTCCTGTTTGTGTGAGTAAATGAACTTATGACTCTCATTTGTTCTGCGGTTTGCAGTTAAGCAGGATTCTCCCATTCACAAAGCCACGGACTCATCCTAAAGCCTAGGAGCGGTATGGGGTTGTTTTGACAGGCTAGCACACGTCTTAAGTAAATAGTAAAGCCTTTATTTTCTGTGTTAAGAACAGCATTTTGAAAATAAAACCTATCTGCTCATGCTTAACAACCTTTTAAATCTGTAATATTTATACAGTCATGTATGGTACACACTGATTGTCTTGAAATTTCTGAATGATTTTTTATAAGTATGCAAGTCAGCCAGGGGAAGATAAAGGTACATTATAAAACACACATTAATACATTTAATAAATATATATTATCTATCAAAAACGAGCCTTTGCTCTGTATCAATTAATAAAAAGCACCTGCTAAGAACTCCCCAAAGCTGGTATAATCACTGTACCCTTGGATTATAAAAGCCACCATGCCTTCTTTTAGTTTGGGGTTCAGACTGAGGTGTTTGACTCAGCCTGTGGCAACCCAAAAGACTACCCCCAGTCTGTACTTGTTCAGGGACCCTGACCCCTTACATTTATGCTAAAACAAAACGAAACAAAACACCACTAGACACCTAGTTTCAAACAGCTGGCTCAAGATGGACAGGGCTCCTCCATTTCTAAGTTTTGGGAACTCGGGTCCTCACCCCCTCCCTCCATCTACAGTGGAGAAATCCAGGCTGGAACAATATTCTATTAAAAGAGGTGAGGAGTGGCTGTTACAGTTCCAAAGCGATGTTACTAACAAGACAGGGAAAATTTTGTGCTTACAATGAGGGGTTATTCACAGGTGCTGTCCCTCCGGGTCATTTCCCCCAACTAAGCCTCATTTACATACACAAATCTGAAACAGAGGTGCAGTTCCATTCCACGTTTAACCCTTGTTCCGTAGGAAGCAGGACGCCATAGTCTCTGGGCAGAGCCGCCTCTTGGTGCTTGAGTGAACCCGTTCGAGTAGATTTCCCCCTTTCCCGCCTTGGCCCCCATCATGAGAGCATACAGCCCACCCAGAACCTTAAAGCCAAAATAAAACAAAAGCCAGAAGCACTAACCTATCAGATTTAAAAGGAAAAAAAAGAAATAGAAGTGGTCTCATTAAGTGAGGTTTCCCGTGGCGCATGGTGGTTTTATGGTGTGGAAATGCTACTTTTCGCAGGTAGCCATCTACACAGTGCTCACCTTATACGTGTGGACAACCAAGAACTTAGAGCGACCTGATCAGTCATGTGAACTCCTCCCTTCTGCAAGGGGGGGCTCTTGTGGACCGAGTCACTGATGGCATCAGAAAGCCCCAAAGGACTCCAGAGAGCAGGGGTGAGCAATCATTTCCTGGCATGAGAACATGCAATGCTGTCGTTTTTCCAGCAGACTGTACTGAGGGGTTCAGAGACTTCTTTATTGGCAGAATGCTGGGTTTGCATGCAGCCGCCCCAGCCCCTGCCCCCCACCCCCAAGTCTCCAGGTTTTCAGCCCACCCAATGGCGGCCCTCCAGTAGAGAGAACCAGATCAGACTCTAGAAGCAAAGCACATGCTGTGGGTGGGGTCGGCACTTGTGGGAAGCTTAGGTAGGGGGATATTTTGGTGCCATGCTGTCTTGTCCCCATGCTTGGTGACACAGGAAATGCAGGAGCTGTGAGGGAAATTTGCACACAGGGGCGGCCACATCGGCCTCACTTCCCCAGGGCTGTCCAAGGACAGGTGGGGGCTGGGAGAGGATACAGCAGAGACTAGGGCCTCAAGACAAATCAGGTTTATTAAACATACTTAGCTCAAAAGTACTGGCTTATGAAGAGGTTGGTTCCCCGACCTCCACCCCACCCCCACCCCCACCACTAACCTTTTTCATTTTCTTTAAAGGTTAAAGGCTCATGGGTAGTTTTATAGAAAAAGCAGTGTAGTGATTAGAGTCTACGCAGAAGGCCCCACCCTTGCTGACACATTCCACGTGTCAGAATAACACTCTTTACTCTGACTCGTTGCTGGCAGTTATGCTGGCCAAACAGTGCAGAGAATATGGGGGCTTTCAATGGCCGGGATGTTGGAAATGCCAAGTAACAAAGGAATGACTTGCTTAGGACAGATGGAAACCATGATAGAAATAATGGGCTTTGAACAGAGCCATTTTCATGAAATCTGCAGAAAAGCAAGAGAAAAATGTACCCCACTTTCTCCCAAAGCAGCAAGAACTCCTCATGGGCTTCACTCCACCCGGGAACTTTCCCAGAAAAGACCCAGTAGGTCACTGCTTGTAGGTAGCAGGACGTCCTCTCCACCCTACTGGGAATCCAGGCAGCCCTGCCCCAAGACGTCACAGTGGAAAGTCTGCTATGGCACTGGCTTTCCAGTGTGCCTCAGAGGGGCTTCAAGCCCATGGCTCCATCTGAGCTTTTGGAACGAAGAGGAGGATACAACTGGGAAAGGGACCCTCGTAAGTACAGGAAGCAGGAGGAAGGGACTGTGGCTCCACCACGCTTGACTATTTCTAGGGCTCCCCAGAGAAGGGGGCGGGACGGCTTTCTCGTCAGAGGTGCTAGAGCAAGAGATGATGGTCACTTCAAGGCCCAGGGGCCTGTCCTCTTTGGCACATGCCAGGTTCCTACCCACTTCTGGCTATAGAGCTGCCCCAAGATTGACCTTAAAATCATACCCACAACATCTTAACTCCCCTGAAATGTGCAAAACACCAGGCAAGCCAGGGAAAAGCCTCAATGGCACGGTCATCTCCAAGAGGCCACCAGCATCCGGCACTTGCTGGGGAGGGATGGTCTTGATGGGCTGCCCCCACCCTGTATGGCCAACACTAGCCTGGCCCATGAGCTGTGAATTCAGTTCTGTTCCACCCGCGGAGGATGAAACAATCTAACCAGGCCACATTTCCCAGTGAGCCTAATACTATTTGCAGTTAGCTCTGTTTTAGTTTGCAGGGACCAAGGTTGGTGTGGCATTAGGTGTCTGTGTGTGTGGCAGAGGAGGACAGGGGAGGGCAGTTGGTGTTAGCTTTTCAGTTCATCAGTGTTCACATTTACACGAAAGCTCCTCGGCCGGGATTTCCAACTCCTGGCTGTGAGGCGGCCTTGCTCGGCTACTGTTACTGACTTCTCCCTCAAGAAAGACAAGGCCAGGGAATGGAATTGGTAAGAGAGATTCTTATTCTCTGGAACTTAGGGTTGTTCACCAGAGGTGTCTTCCCGTGTGAGTTGGCGGAGCGGTTGGGATCTGGAATAACACACAAGGATAACACTGAGAACTTAATGTCAACATCAGAAACTGCTTCGTTCACGACGAGCCAAGGGTAAGTTGCCTTGCTCTTCCTACATGGGCTGAATAATCCCCAAAGAAATAAGCAACCATGGTGTGCCATGCTCCTCTAGGTCTCGGGAAGGCCACCTCTCTTGTGCTACAGCCATTCCCTTGGAGAAACAGGCGTCCTGACCCTGAAAGGCAGTCTCTAAGCTTTGGGTGTTTTTACCCACAGTGACCTTGAATGAATCAGGAGCCCTGAAGAGTGTCAGATGGGAACTTTCCTAACCATATTTATTGTAACACACAGGCTGAATGCTTGTGAATCAGGCTTTTCTTGGCTCCGGACAATAAACAGCACAAGTGATGCCAGGGGATTTTAAGCATACAAATCTAATTCTTTTTATATTTGAGCTTTCCCAAACCAATGCAAGTGGAGGCCTAATGGACTATTCACAAGCCAGAGAAGCCAAAGTTCCTTCCAGAGATCAAAGACCATCCCTGACTTCCATTTACTTTAAAAAAAAAAAAAAAAAAAAAAAAAAAAAAAAAAAAAAAAAATTATTTTAAAAAAAAAAAAAAAAAAAAAAAAAAAAAGGAAAAGAAAAAAGAATGCTCAGGTTGAGTATGGAATTGGCACATGAAATAAAGAATGGAACTTGATTTACACATGGTAAACTGGCTCATGTGTTGTTTTTGAAAGAAGCACATAGCCATGTTTGGAAATTAAATGTGGTGGGAGTGAGAGTGCACCTTAAAATTGCTAGAAAGTCAAAATAATGTCATTCCACGGAGGCAAAACAGAAAGCATGGTGATTCTGCCGACAGTCTGTTTGGCATCAGATATAAATCTGGTTTTGTGTTTGAAAAGTCAAAGGTAACTGCTCTGGTCTCTTAGGAGCTGGGATGGGGCAGCCCCGTGCCCAGTTGGGGCACAAGGATGCAGCGCAAGACCAAGGGAGTTAAACTGGGATGGGCATTAGCAAGAGGTTGCCAGGGGTTCTGCACCCTGTGGGCTTTTCCTTAAAGTCACCTCCCAGGGAGCGGGTTGGGGCACTGTATTAAGGAAAGCCAAACAATTCGCCGGGGAACGAGCCCCAAGAAATAAGTACTCTTCCTAGGGGACGTGCGGATGGCTAACAAGGACCACAAACGTAGGTTTTCTGTGAGTGGAGAGAGTGGCAGGAGGGAAAGCATCGCATGCATTTAGCTGCAAGGGATGTGGACTGGAGCCGCTGTCTTTGCAGACCACAGAAGCAGCCTCCACAGGACGTGTGACCTGTCGCAGCTGCTCCCCACAGTGTGCTCTGGGGCCTGCTGCCCAGCGTCACATCTGGATACTTACAGTCCCGCCATTGAGCACAACGGCCATCTCGGTTGGCTGATACACGTTGCTTCTAAACGGAGCGCTGGGTCTGCTTCCCAAACCGCTGCTGGGTTTCTTCCCCAAGCTGCCACTGGATCTTTTTCCCAAGCTGCCGTTGGAAAATCCTGCTGTTCGGAGAGCTGAGGGAGAGAGGCAGAGAGGAGCAGAGGAGGGAGGGAGGCGTTGGCAACAAGACAACACCGAGAGAGAGACATGATTTTGTTTTCTTCCTCCGCATCGACAAGGCACTGGGGCACCCCCACCCCCCACCCACTGCAGTGGCTCCTCCCCTCTGTCACAAGCCTGATTCAAAACAAAAATCACAAAGGCGCTTTGTTCTCAGGCTCTCTGGGAGTCTGACCCATGTCGGTGAGGCTGGGAAGTGTGTGGAGTCCAGGTGCCCGCAGCCTGCCCGGGAGAGGAGGCCCGGGGTCTAGGCCAGCGGTCGTGAACTCTTCAGAACTTTCCACGCCGTGAACAGTCTGTTGCAGCACGCAGGCCGTAGGTTCGCGGTCACTGGCCAGACCCTCCCGGCACACAGGGTCTGCCGGCGACAGCAGCCTCAGGTCTCCTCTGACAGAAGAGCCCCCTCCTCCTCACGGCAGACAGCCACTCTCAGCTTCCACAAGTCAGCACAACTTTCAGAATCGGGCACCGTTCGTGGATACACACAGAACTGGGACCGCTAAGAATACAGACATCGAGCACACCACACAGCGCCTGTCATCGCGGGAGAGGCCCTGCACGGGCACACAGGGTTATTCCCAAACAAGAGTGAAAGGGTGGTTGGCAGCAATAATGCCAAAATAAGTTAGCACTTTTTACCTTAGAAAGGTGGGGAAACGGTGTTTCTTATTTGCTATATTTTTGAGATGTCTTGTTTTGTTTTTTGAGACAGGGTCTCACTATGTAGTTCAGGCTGGGCTTGAACTCACTATGGAGCCCAGGCCAGCCTTAAACTTGAAGCAATCTTCCTGCCTCAGCCTCCCAAGTGCTGGGAGTATACGCGTGTACCACCATGCCTGACCTAAGTTTCCTGTTTTGTAAAGAAAAACTGAAAAGACATGGAGGAACTTTAAATGCTTACTGCTAAAAGCTTATAATGTATGATTCCAGCTATATAACCTTCTGGAAAAGACAAGACTATAGAGATAGTAAAAGATGAGTAGTTGTCGGGTCAGGGCAGGAAGAGGGATGAACAGGAGGTGTACAGGGTATTTAAGGCAGTGAAGTTATTCTGTAGGATACTACATCGACACAGTTACAATGTATTTGTCAAAACCCATAGAAATGTACAGTACAGAAGCGTGAAGTCTGGCTAAGATGTAGACTTTACAGCCAGGGATGTAGCTGAGAGACGGAGTGTTTGTCTAACATGTGCAAGGCTGTGTTCTACCTCCAGCACTGAAACAAAAAGAGGACTCAGAGCAAAAATAACATATTAATATCATTCATCAACTGCAACAAATATATGACGATTATAAGTTGTTATCAGAGGAAGCTGCATGTGTGTGGGGTGTGGGAACTCCCTGTGATTCCTGTGTCATTTTTGTTGTTATTGTCCTAGGGATAAATTCAGGGCTTTGTGCATGCCAGGCAAGCACTCTATCACTGGGCTATACCTTTTCATTTTTATATACCTTTTTCTGTTTAGATTTGAGACAAGGTCATCCTAAATTGCCAGGATGGCCTTGAGCTTACAACCTTTCAGCTTCAGCCTCTTGAGTATCAGGGATTATAGCTACTGCCGGGAAACTTTGTAATAAAGTTCTCTGAAATACAGTTTATTTAAAAGTAAGGAGAAACTCTAATTAAAAAATCCAAACAGAATCTTCTCACTTGTAAGAGGCCAGCATCACCACCTTTCTCATTGAAAGTACTGATCCTAGCCAGACATGATGGCACACATCTGTGATCCCACACTCTTGAGAGGCTGAGGCAGGAGGAATCCAAGTTCAAACCCAGCGTGGGAAATGTAGGGACTTAGTGAGATCTTGTCCCCCCAAAAAAGAGTGGGGATGTACCTGAGTGCAAAGACCTTGGGTTCAATCCCCAGTACTGCAAAAAAAAAAAAAAAAAAAAAATCTTGCTTTGGTTAAAAAAAAAAAAGACTCACTTAGGCTTAGGGACATAGCTCAGTGGGAGAGCCTTTGCCTAATATGTGAGGCCCTGGGTTCATTCTCCAGCATGGGAAGGTTGAGGGGAAGTAGGAGGGCAGGCTTATTTAAAAGTCCTCCCTGAAGGGAGAAAATTTTCTGGCTAAAATGAGCAAGACAGCTTGGGGTTTTCGCAGATTACTTGAGGCAGGGACCACAATTACCTCAGTACTATAGTTAAGCTGCAGAGAGTATCAACCAGAAGCCAGGCACTGTGAAAAATCCTATATGTATCTCTCTGCCCAGGGACGGAATGAGCCCTGGAACTCAGACAGAGACCTGGTGTTCTTCTCCATCACACCTTACCATCTCCAGGTAACGGTTTATAACCATTACACTAAGTTACTTAGAAGAAATTTGAGTTCAGTGACATCAGAGACAGCTCAGCCCAGACTGGACCAAAGAAATGGAGGTGGGATGGGCAATGCAGGTTCCAAGAACACGTAAGAAAACTTCTTACCCTGGCATCCTCCAGGCCTTGGAGGAGGTGACTGTATAGCTTTTTTAAATGTTTTGGTGCCAGGGATTGAGCTTGGGATCTGGCACTTGCGAGGCAGGCAGTGGAACCATTGGGCTAAATCCCTGGCTCCTGTACAGCCTTTTTTGAAATGTAGGGCCAGAAGAGCTGGAGGTGGGGAGGGGACCAAGTTCCACTCTGCCCTCATCTAAGGGGCCTTGGCCCAAAGGTCTCTCTCCACAGTGGCCATTTGTGGCTCTTCTGATGAATCCAACCTGCATTTGAGACCCCTGAAGTGTTGGCCTCGACTGCCTCCTCTCTGGCCTTGTGACTCAGGCCACATAACTTGGCCCTGGCCAAGCAGGGCAGCCCATCCCCCTGGACAAACGGATTGACTCAAGGAAAACATTTAGGTCCAGTCAGAGTGAAGCCTGGGACTCGCACTCAAGCTCCTGGGAAATGTTCTACTTCTCCACCAGGCTCCTCTGCGAGCCTGGAGCTTATGGGCTGCCATGATGCTAATGCCCAAGAGATGCAGAAAGACCAAGTCTTACCATCCATTGCTTGAATCCGGAATCTAAACTTTCCTGCAGCCTGCTGCCCAGCATGTTTGTTTATTAACACTTTATCCCTGAGCACCTCCCCTAGCCTAAAGGGTATTTAAACAGTACTTGGCTCTAAGGATATCCAACAAGCCAAACGCCCCCAACAGAAGAAAGAATACTTTTCTTGCTGCTTTGACAGATGAATATTTGTTATGCCTCGTTAGTGCTTTCTAAGATGGGGTCCAAAGTACCATACCCCTCCATCCTATAATCTTTTATCACATACCTCACACCTCACGGCCATGTGTTCATGAGCAGCAGGCTGGTGAAGGTGTGTGTTCGTAGGGCCTCACTGAGGAGGACATATGGGGTTGAGGCTGGGCCACAGTGTAGCCCAGAGAACACCCCTGCCATCTCAGAGCACATCAGAGATGGGTTCTCAAGGGAAGAGAAGAAGCCAGGCACGGTGATGCATGCCTATAATACCAGCACTCTGGAAGGCTGGGGCAGGAGGATTGTAATTTCATACCCTGAATGGGCATTGTAGTGACTCAGCAAGACCCTGTCACAGAATGAGAAAGGAAGGAAGGAAGGAGGAAAAGAAAGCAAGAAAGAGGCAGGAATGTAGGCTGGGGCTGTAGAAAGGAAGAGAGCCTGCAAGGCTGGCAAGAAGTTTCAAGTGCAAGAGAAACAGGATCAACTACAGCTTCTGTGCCCTGGCTATTTCAGGAGGCCCCAGGGCTACAGGGTTAGGTCCACATGGGGCCAGGCTCCTAAAATACAAACTGGTTGAGGTCAGCACCAAAGACACCAACAGCTGCTCCTCTGTGGGAAGGGGGCGTGCCCAGTGAGCAGTGTTTCTAGAAGAAAGGCCAGCCTCGCCAGGAGTCCAGCTGAGGGAACGGACTTTGCCTGAGGCCTGCCCCGCCCAGTCTCCTGTGCATGTGGTAGACCCACATTTGGGATGATCCAATGAGGGCTATAAAAAAAAAAAAAAGGGTGGTAGTTGACCTGGGTGATCCTAGCTATTCGGGAGGCCAGGTAAGGAAGATGACAAGTTTGAGCTCAGCCTGAGCAATGTGGTGACTTACAGAGACCCCTCTCAGAGTGTGGGGCAGCGATGTGGCCCCTGCTGATCCCCCATACCGGAATTAAAATGGCCTGGGGATATAGCTCAGCACTCCCCAGGCTCAATACCTAGGAATGGGAAGAAAAATCTGACAAAACCTCAAGTTCCCATTGAGGTGGGGAGATGGAGCTCCTGCAATTATTAAGTGGGGTCAGTAAAGCAGCCTGCATTTCTGGGTGCCATCTGGGATTACATATGAAGATTTAACACACAAATTCTGTGGCTCTTATGTAGGATGTGTGTGTGCGTGTGTGTGTGTGTTGCATGAACTGAGGCCTCCCAAAAGCAGGAAGATGAGGATAAGCGAGAGTTCACTGCAGCGCTGTTTACTGAGGAAAACCAGAGGCAAGCAGAACATTTGCCAGAAGAAGATGAGAAAAATAAATCATGGGATCTAATGGAGAACTGCAGCACCCGAAGGACACTGCAGCTCCACGCTACTAACCTTGGAGAGCCCTCCACATTGGCTTTGGCAAGCACACGCTGAACACTCGTGTTTTCAACCTGGTTGCAGGCCAGCCCTGACGGTGCTGGTACCAGTCTGGGTCTCATATGGATACAGAATGCTGGCTACATTTTTATGAGAAAGAGTGTAAGTAATAGGATTCAGAAAGTCAACATTCTTCCTCCTTGTTCTGCTGTGTTCTTACAGCGTGAGCCTGAACAAACTGCCTGACATCCCTAGGCCTCCGTTTCCCATTCCGCAAAATGGGTCTGATACTGTTATTTTTCCACAAAGTCCAGAGTTGCCCTAACACATCACCAGTGTGTGGGCCCAGAACCAGCCTGCCTGGGTTCCAGTACAGGTCCTGTGACCCAGCCAAGTCCCTTAGCCTCTCTGTGCCTCAGTCTCTGGTCTGCAAAACAGACTTCCTGGGGTTACTGTAGGGAATAAATAGGATTAGCCACTAAAATGTCCTGAATGGTGTGCAGCCCAAGCTAAGACCCAGCAAAGGTTAGTTATTCTTAATTTAATGACCCTAATGCTTGGGTGCAGCTAACATCCAGCTTTACTGCAAGGAAATAAAACCATCACATTAAGCAACACTGGTTCGTGCGTGACCTTTTGGGGGTCATAGGTGCTCTGAGGCTTTGACAAGAGTGACAGACCAGTTCTCCAGGAAAACATGAATGTACATAGGAAAACATGAATGTACATAGGAAACTCGCACCCACTTTCATTCCCACTACCTCTGGCCCAAGGGGAGTTGAGGGGTCTTGATCCAGTGAAGAGGTGGCTCCACCAGGATCTCAGGAACTGGTCCGTCACCACACACACACCCCCTGCAGGGCCCGCTGGCTCCAAGGCACAGTCTCCACCGGACCCCACCTTCTGGCATCCCAGGGAGCAGCCCTCCCACTGGCTGAGACTGCCACGCCTGCCTGCCTGCCTGCCTCCCGGCACAGGCTTCCTGGCCTGAACAGCTTGGAGAAAGGCTCAGCAGGATCAGGGAGTGCACCGGAAGCCGGAAGCCGAGTAGTGTAGGTGTAAAGGAGGGATGTGGATGGCCTGAAGGAACTTTGGGCGAACGTGCCTGCCCTGCCTGCAAGCCGAGAAGGCTGACTGTGTAGTATGATGGGCTACAGAGCACAGTCCATTCTCCAGGCCCCCGGGTGAACATCGCTAAAGTGGACTCATGACGATCTCATGGGCCACCTTCTTAGAGCCTCCCTTTACTCATTCAGGTCTAAGACGAGAGTGGTGGTGGGGCGACCTCATTGGCGACGGCTAAAGCAGTATCATGCCTAGCACGGGGTCAGTGCTCCAAACGATGACTACACCAGCTCATCAGTACTACTGCTACCTCTCCTGTTCTTGGTTATTGCTGCTGCTGCTGCTGCTGCTGCTGCTGCTGCTGCTTCTGCTGCTGTTGCCCTTGATGTTTCCTCAGGTAACTGAGAAAAGATAATTGTATCTCATCTTGAGGGCTGGGAACTCAGCCAACTCCCTTCCGCAATGATTCTAGGGGACATTTCTCAAGCATTTATATATAGCAGGGCCTTGGTTGGGTCCCTGAATTGCAATCTCTGGGCAGGTCTTATTATGACCTCACTTCTGAATTTGGCTGCAGCAGTCCTGGTATCTAGACAATGTCACCTCAAGTCTCACCATATTTGTTTTTTGGCCTTAGAACCCAATGAAACGTGTTCAGTCCACTGACAGAGTAATGGGGATGCTGGTTAAAGTTAGGACTGAGCAGTGGAAAATGCCCAGCCTCCTGTCCTTCCAGGGCCAAATGTGGGACTCCTTTCACCTGTGTCTCCAGCTGCCCGTGGTGGTGACAGCTCACAGGTGCAATTACCTTGGCATCGTCTCACCTTCTTGAGTGGGGCAGGTGCAGGTCTTCATCCCAAGTGAACCCCTGCCCCACACCCTTGTCTAGGGCTCTGCTTTCAACCAAGCAACCAAGACCTGACAATGCTCCATGCCAAGTACCACACGGCTTGGTTATTTCCTGCAACAGCTCTACGGGGTATGTTCTCTTGTTTCTAGTTCTCAGATGAGAACTGCGGTTCAGCAAGGTGGTATCATTTCTTCAAACCCACACAATTGGGGAATGGCACAGGCAGAACTGGAACCCAAACACCTACCTTCAGAGTCCATATCTGCACATTCATGATGACTAGGGAGGGGAAGGGTGAACACTATTGTAGCATCCGGTATCCCTCTAGCACAGGGGTCGCAAACTCAGGTACTTCTGGGGCACCAGAGAATTAATGGTAATGTACACAGTGACTGGATGAAGGAGCCCAGGGGGAGAGTGGAGAGTGTGGCAGGCAGACAGCGGGTCCCCTCTGAAGGGCACCACAACTTGGAGAGGCACTAGGGACAGGGCCTTCCAGAAAAATGAGAAGGTCAGTGCAGTGCTGTACAATACAATTTCTCTTCTTGTGCAGTACTGGGGGTTGAGTCCTGGACCTTTGCAATGAGCTACATCCCTAGGCCTTTTAAAATTGAGTCATATTAAATCACTAAGTTCCCTAAGCGGGACGTGAACTTGCGTGCTACTTGCCTCAGCCTCCCAGGGTGTTGGGATCACAGGTGTGGACCACCCAGACCAGCTCAACTCTTGTTTTTTTCAGTGCTGGGGATCAGATCCAGGTCCCGGCATATGCCAGGCAACTCTACCACTGAGCCGCACACGCAGCTGTGACTTTTTGAGAAAAGCCTAAATTTTTATAATTAATTAGTTGGCAGTTAGTGGGAGCAAAAGCTAGCAGGAAACCCATCTCTGAGACAGTTTCAACACAGGCAGTAAGGTTTGTGGACTCTGGTCTGCGCCCAGGACAGAGACTGCTCATCTCCACTCAGGAGACAGTCCTTGGGCGAACAGCCCAGCCAGGTGTGCACCTATTACCTGCACTGTGCTCGTCCATCGAGAAGGCCTGGTTCTCCATGTAGGTGCGTGGCAGGTGCACGTCCTCCTCGAACGCCGTCTCCCGCATCCTGGGCTGCGACGTGTCGAAGTAGTTGGGTGGGTTTTCCTGCAGGGGTGGGAGGAGGGTGCAGTGGATCTCGGGGATGGCGTGAAAGATGATGAAGACCCAGCCGCTGGCCGCCAGCGTGATGGCCAAAGTGGGGTCACTCCAGGTGTCTCCTCGCTGCACCATGGCGTTGCCGAATAGGTACATGGTGATCCAGGCCACCCAGATGAGCAGAGAGAGGAAGGTCGTGATCAGAATGAAGGCCCCATTCAGCTTCCACCTCTTGAACTTGCCGCAGAGCGTGAAGAGCGCCTGCCCCAGGGTGATCACGAGCAGCACCATGTCGTAGATGAGGGCCATCACGAAGTCCATGGGCTCGTAGGCGCAGGCAGGCTTTGTGTCTCGCAGCACGGTCAGCACCAGCCACTCAGTGGCGATGATGACCTGCACCAACATCAGGCACAGTGCCAGGCCCACCATCTGCCAGCCCGCTGGGCTTGTGCCCTGACACACCAGTCTCCGCACACGCCATGCCTGGCTCAGCAGGCAGGAAAAGCAGAGCGCGAAGAGGACGCCCCAGAGGAAGCGGCGGATCGAGCAGATAGTCTCGTCCATCCGGATGATGAAGGCGAAAGTCAGCCCAAAAAGGCCCAGGGTCCCCAGGAGGAAGAGGAAGTGGAGGCACACGGGCCGCTTCTTCTCCTTGTCCTTGATGAAGGGCAGGCGCACTAGGAGTACGAGCATCAAGAGCAGTGTGATCAGGGCGCCTGCCCCGGCCACCGCCTCCACCACGATGCCCCAAATGGCGTCCAGGTCGCACAGGGACACGTACTGAGGGAGAAGGTCCAGCCCGCAGCCCCGGGACGTGCTGGCGTTTTCAGAGGCCACAGAGGAGATCACCGCGAGCAGGAGGAAGGCGAGCACCTGATGGGTTCTCATCTTTCTCCCTGACACCAGGAACGTTCTAAGAAAAGGGAGCAGGTAAGGATGGTTAGGGGAAAAGGAAAAAGATCCATTCACTGTGAGACTCCTGCTCTTCTGACTTTTTTTTTTTCTTTCAGTACTGGGGATTGAACCCAGGGCCTTTGCACTGAGCTACATCGCCAGCCCTTTTGCAAAATGTTATTCTGAGTTCCTAATTAGTGCCCAGGCTGGGCTCAAACCTGTGATCCCACCTCAGCCTCCCATTTGCAGCTGTGTGCTGCCATGTCTGGCTCCTCTGGCCTTCTTATGGGAGAGCTGTGTAACTTCAAGCCTGTAGCCCACCCAGCACCTCTAGACACATCCTGAAAAGCCATCTTCCTTTCTCCAGGCATTGTGGGCCTCTGTGGGGGACTCTGTCTACCATCTGCATCCTTGGCTGGGTACAGGCAGCGACTCTGAGTCACCACCACTCGTGGCTGGAGGACCTGGGGGAGAGGGTGACTCACTTTCTCTATAAACCCTTTGTGTTCTTTAAATCTGATACCCCAGGCCACTTCTGACTCTTCAAAAGAAGGGAATAAGACAAAACTTGAAAGAGACAGCCACCAGCCAGGGACCACCCTCGAAGAACAGCACACATTCCTCCTCTGTCTCTTCAAGCCAACAGCTACCATTTACTGACCGCTGGGCAAGACTAGTCCTTACCATGTTCACGAGGCAGGGCCTGTTGTGACCTCCATTTTGCAAATGACAAAACAGGGTCCCCAGGGGGTGACATTTGCACCAGGTCATACAGCCCAGCCCCTAGAGGGAGCTCCTCTCAGAAGTCTCCCACCTTCCCTGTGGAGCAGACCACCCTCATACCTAGGGCATTTCTCTCTCCCTGGATGCGACCAATCTGGGTCGGACAATACAGAGGGGAACACACCCTGACTGTCCTGAACACGCACAGATACCTTCTCCTTGTCACCGTTCCCTAAACAACCCAGTGTGACAGCTGATTGCACAGCATTTACAGTGTGTCGGGGCCATGCAGGGATTTTGGAAGTGCACAGGAAGATATAGGTAGGCTGTGTATATGCAAATGTCCCGCTAAGTCATTGTACGGAAGACACTTGAGTGTCCTTGGGTGTTGGTGTTGCAGACACTGGTATCCACAGGTCCTGGAACTGCTCCCCTGTAAATACCTAGGGGGCACTGTATATCCAGAAGGGGCTGTCTGCCTCCGTTGCACGCTTTGGCTCCCCCTCCCATACCTCATCCTCCTCCAAAGAGCTCCTGAGGCTCCAGAATTTGGTTCCACCCCAGTCAGTTTCTCCCTGGGTGCAGACCTTCGCTTCTGCTTTCTCTTGCCATTAGGCAACGTGAACTAACCCAAGTTTCCTTTTGCTCTGGCTCTCTTGGCCCAGACACACCGCCCCCTGCACAGAAAGCTGCCCCACATCAACCCCGACCTTGGCCAAGGTCACACCCCCACTCCTCTCTACTGCGGCCTTTCCTAATACTAATCAACTCTGACGTTTTTTTGTGTCTATTTACTTTGTTTCTTTTCTCTTGCTTTCCTTCCTTCCGGTCTCTGTCCTCTGCAAAATGTGGCAGGGCAGGGACACTGCTTCTCTTGCTCCCCAGTGGACCAGGCTTTCCCTATGGGGGCATGGCTGGCACCTGGCTTGGACTGCTCTTTGTTGTGGGAATCGTAAGAGTGTTGAGCAGAATATGTGCCTTTACAAAATAGGTGCAAACAGCATGTCACCTCCCCCGGTTGTGACCATCCATGAAAGACGCCTCTAGACTCTTCCAGATGTCCCGATTGGGAAGCTAACTCAGATGATGACTTCCAGTGAAGACGGAAGTCCCAGTGCAGTGCCTGGCATGAGGCAGGTGCTGAGTAATCTCGCAGCAATGATAACCCTGCCCCTCAGGGCTGTCCTCTCGCTCACTGCCACCGGCTCCTAGCTTTTCAAAGGGGCCAGGCCTTCAAGAAGCCAAGGCCCACAGCGCTTGCTCAACGCTCATTTCCAGCCATCTCCAGCCGGATCCACGACAGCTCGGCGCAAGTGTGGAGTTGTAACTGCTCCGCGGTCCCTGGGGCTTCTGTAAGTAAATGCGTATCGACCACTTCTCTCTGCTCCTCTGGGGAGTCTGTGTCTGAGATCCTGCTTGGCTGTGAGGCCATCGATGGGCATAAATTATTAATGTTGAAGAAAGAGAAGGTGCCCGGCGGTGTGGGGACTGTCGCCTCTGCCTACAGGCGGGAGCAGGCTCAGAGGCACCTGGCCAGAGCGGCTCCTAAGCATGACCTGGCCTCCTGCTCAGGGCAATGTAGAGGTGAGGATGTACCCCAGATGCTGACAGTAGGCCTATGGCCCAGCCACCAAAGCCATTTATGCTTTGTCTACACTCTGTCAGGAAACTGACTGGTTTCTTAACATCAATCTACTTGAAAGAAATCTAACACATTAAAATATTTCTCTCTTGACATTTTAAAACTATATGTTGCTATATAACTCTGCACAACCCCTGGGCATATCCCAAAGTAGCAACCTTTGGAGAAACATCACTCTAGACAGAACTGCTTATCACGAGGTCCTGAAAGCAGGCTGGGAACCAAAACGTAAGACTTGGATGTGTCAGAACAAGATGCCATCGGTTCCTGACCTGGCAGAGGACCCAGAGTGGATTTTCCTCAGACATCATCAGGGGCAGACTCGATTAATTCATTCCTGCAGGAGGCACTTAACTCAGGTCTGGTGACCTGTGGATCCTACTGGTTGGTCCCAAACAAATGGTTCACCTACAGACACGTGGCCCAAACCAGACCCATGAGAATCACCCCTAGGATTTTTGCTAGCATGGATTAGAAAGAGGTCATCTCTTTTGCTGGGCTTGATCAGCTAGAAGGCTACAAGTCTGGCACTAGAAAAGGACAAACATGCCATGTAGGGAGAGAACCTGTCCCAAACAACAAGGGATGGAGCAGAGTCCTAATACAATGAATGGCTGGAAGCTAGATCCGGACTTTCCAGCAGCCAATTTCCTCTTTTGGATTCAGCCAGTTTCAACTGGACTTACATGGAATGGCCCACTTTTTCCAGGAATTTCACCCTATCCAACATCTAGACACATAGATGCAGCCTACAGCAGCTGGCAGTGATAGGAAGGGTCCAGTTGCCAGAGCAAGTCACTCTCATTTTGAAGATGCCCACAGAGCGACAGCCACCCCACTCCATACAACAGGGGGCAGATGGCTGAGGTTGGGTGTGAATCGCACCCAAGCCAAGAGCACAGGCTCGGCCTGATTTCTCATACTGAGAATGCCTGCCGTCTCCCATAATGCCACAGTACAACTAGGGTAACTGGATGTGTGCCCTGGCCGGCATTCTTCTGTGCAAGCCACACATCCAGCTCCCGAGAACCTGTGGGACAGCCCAATGAGGCAAGTAGGAGTCCCATCTCCATTGACACGGGACAAGGGGTCATAGGCCTGGTCCAAGGTCGTGCCGCTACAAAGAGATGGAGCCCACAGGCAAATTATGGTGCAATTGTTTCTGAGCTCTTGGTCAGACTCCTCGCTGCTCTGAGCCAGCCAGTCCATCTACATTAGGTTCTCCCTGCCCCGCCAGACTCCGCGCCAGTACTTTTGATCCTTATCTTTGTAGCATAGGTCACAATTTTCTATTATTTTACTATTCTTTTGACCCCTTCTACCCCATCCCATCTCCAGCCCAGGCTGCCTGTCTTGTTCTGGCACTCTGCTGCTGAATGGACTTAGTCTTTAACCCTCACGTCACCCTGGAGGGCAGGGTTCTCCTTCCCATTTAGAAGACAAAGCGCAGGGCCTGATAGGTTAGACTCAACGTCTGATGCTGGAACGGCACGGCAGGATCACCATGGAGCCTGCCAGCGGGCTCTTGGGGGCGTATGATTACACGTGTACACAAGCCCTGCGGTGACAGTGGGGTACACTGGGCAAGGACACATCCAGCCGGAAGCCCTACTCCTTCCTCAGGCAACGTCTGTGGTCAGATAAGCCTTTGTCTTGGTAAAAGCAACCACCACCAACAGCTGGGCAGCTTTCCAGTGAGCCCCTAACCGGAACAATACCAGATTAGAGGTTCCATGTCAGCCTCAAGGCAGGGCCGCTGGGAACTGGATGAGTACATGGCAGTGGCCCTGGTGGTGGCTCCACCAAAGGAGTAGTGAATAAATGTGAACAAACTTGCAAGACTCGGCTCACATACTAATTACCTTTGCTGCCAGCCAGACTTGCAAAAATGTGAATCATTCATATGCTCTGAAATGCACCCGAATACACTGCATATGCCACACACACGCGTGCACACACACACACTCACACACCAGGGCAAGCACTCTGCAGAGGTACCAGAAGCAGCTCTGCTGGCAGGAGGAGGGGCAGCCTTCTGTTTCTCCACACACCAGGTGCTGCAGAGGCTGGAAAGGATGCGGGAACACTTACAGCTAGGCCTGTCTGGGCCACACACAGGTCTGGCTCTCCTAGCCCTGCTTCTCACTGAGGCAGCCCTCCCAGTTTTAAATCCTGCCCCAAAGGCTGGGGATGTAGCTAAGTGTCACAATATACACCTAGCTTGCTCAAGGCTCTGGATTCTACCCCAGCACGGACAAGAAAGAAAAAAATTGAACCCTGCCCCATACCCCTTGCTAATACCCTGTCACCATGGGTGGCTGACTTAGCCTTTTTTTCCCTTCATTTCCTTACCTGCAAAAGGGTGATACTAATGGCCTCTTGTGGGGTTGTGGTGAAGGCTATGATGACTAATCGTAGGGGTTCAGGATGGTAGCTAACATGGGTCAGCACTTGTATATAAACTATCTGTTAAGTGAATAAAACAGACTGGCAAATGCTCCCTTATTTGGAGTAGTAAATTCCTCTGAAACTGTTTTTCTAGAGGGCTGGTTGCCATAGAGATGGTGTGTGTGTTTGTGTGTGTGTGTGTGTATACACACGCGTGCATGTGTCTCATCTAGGTGTTTTCCCACCACTGGACTCTGGTTTTCTCT